AAGGCACTAGGAGTAACTTCAAGGCACTGACAAAAAGAGAATTTGAGAGTGGATTACTTTGAATTCTTAGAAAAAGAAAATGGTTTTGCCATATCCAACAGAATGCTGGAAGAAGCTTTAAAAATAGCAGCAGCTCTTGGACTATCAGATATTAAGGCATCGTCTATGTACATAAAGCGATGGAAATGATGCTAATGAAAGTCAGCAGTTGCCAGCTGATAAACGTTAAAGTAGCCAATGGCTTCATTCAAGCGATTTGTTCTTTGAGCATGAAAAATGATTACACACTGTATAATATACAAAATATTTATCAAACAATGGTGAGGTTTGATGAACCATACAGTAAGACAAATGATGTTGAAAAAAGCACCATAAGAATCTCTAACACCGGGTGTAAAAAGTGAGGATTTACAGTTCACTAGGAGCAACTGAACCTGCACATTAACTCCTCGCATTCGTGATTTTAAAAGAACGTACAGTAGGCACGCCACTTCGTGCACCGAAAGACTTAAAAATTCCACACATCGTTAAGGTTATCTGCTCTGTCAATGGATGGATGATGTCTAACCTTATGGAAAGTTAGCTGATAAGGCATTGGGGTCAAAATGAGGATGACGTTCAGAAGTTAATTATATTGAAGTAGGCCTCAATTTATAGAACCTCAAGTCTCTCTGAAAAATGAAAGAATCTGGACACAGATATAGATTTAATTCTGGCAGGGCGCACAAGCTTTCTGCACCCAGCAAATGTTTTGTGGATAGCACCCTTTAAAAGTGCAATAGGAAGAGAATGAACGCTCTTCATTAGAAATAAATTAAAGACCCTTGCAGGAATTTAAGAAGGTCAACTCGGCAAAATGTGAATGCTCTTGTGGCGGCCGCTTAGGAGGCAGTCTCCAAAGAGGTGATTTCAAACTCATATAAGTGTTGTGGTATTGCCAATGCGTTAGATAGAAGCTAAGATGGGTTGTTTCATTCCCAATTAGTGAAAGTTAATGTTGGATCTATAGAAAATGATGTTACTGATGAACTGAATGAGGAGTGTGTTGACCTTATTTTGGGTGAAGACTCTGATAGTTCTTTCAATGGATTTTCAGATTCTGATTAATGTAAATGAATAAATTATCTTTCTTTTTATGAAATATTTTGTTCTCTATAATTTTCATTTTTGCCCCTATGTGCATGTGCCGCAATCCTTCCAAGATTTACATATAAAGGATTGCTGTAGATGGTAAGTTAGATTTACTAATTAGAGCTTATATTTACTTTCTTTTGCTATAATTATTTTTACTTTATTTCGTTCATTTTTCGTGTGATTCATATTCACAGAAGTGCCAACCCTCCGGCTTTTTACAAGTTATTTTCTCCTCTGGGGTGTTCTCGAAAATCTCCGGTTTTTCACTTATTTTTACGCTGAACGCAGTTTTCATCAATTTCGGCCTCAATGCGTCAGTTTCGCCTTTCCTTTCTGAATCTGCAACTGCTTCGTAAATACTGCTTTGTGATTGGCTTCTTTCAGAAGCAAGAACGTTCGCTGTATGCTCTGAAAAATTATTTTCCGATCGTTTTCGTTGTACAGTGAAGTGAAGTGAAGTCAATACCAGTAACTTCCAATCTGAGTTTGTTTTTATGCGTGTTTCTGTCTTGTTTTAGTTTGTTTTTTGTGTGGAAATATATAATGGCTGCAAAACAAGTTAATGCGAAACTAATGCTAATTAATAAAATTCTTCTTTGAAAGAAAAATATCCAAATGCATATTTTCAATCAATGAACCATAATTGTTTGTACTCAGTTCCATTACAGATGAAGTAAAACAAATATCAAGAACATAGTCTTATCAATTCAAATAAAGATTACTGTCACTACTTACAGTATATTTTTATAACAAAATTTTAATTTAATTGCAAGAACATTTTGTGCTTAGTATAAAATAAGTTCATTTATTGAAGAAATCAATGATATGTTCTATAAATAATCTACAGTGGTTGGACAAAATAATGGAAACAGTTCTATGTGTACAAATTTTTTTTATCTTTCTAAAAAATACTAAGAGGATCATTATATATACAGTGTAACGTCCCATATCCGGACGTCCCTTTTCCGGAAGGGTCAATTTTTTAACAATCAAAATAAACAAACATTTCTTCATCTTCCCCACTCTCTTAAAAAGAAAAAAAAAGTATTTTGACAGGTTTTTTCCTCTCTTAGCTTCTAGTGATCTATGCATTAAACCCATAAATCAACAGAAAAGAGAACAGAAGATCTACCAAGACCGACGGTTAGTAACGCTCCTCCTCTGGAATGCAGGAAGGGGGGGGGAGATTTGTTTTCAAAAGAGCACAATTGAGTCCCCTCCCCCCTTCTTTCCTGTGCAGCTGGCTAGTAAAAGAGGCATTTCCTGGAACCTTTTTGATAAAGTGTTAGGGAAAGAAGTACTGTGAAAAGGGTAAACACAGCAAACGTTAAAGTGGATGGGGAATCCCCTTTAGTCACACAAGAAAAAATAAAGAGAACCCAATCAGCATGCCACGCCTTTATGCTTGATTGATAGCCAATGACAGGAGAGAAAATAAGAACTTGTCCCTACCCCCCTTCAACTTGAATGACAAGTAAGAAGGAAATGAATTTTGCTTCTTCACCTACCCACCTTAATGAATGAATGACAGGAATTTCCCCTTCATGCTTGAAACGTTCTAGTTCAAAATGGCGGAGAGAGCAATTAATATTTTCATAACTGTAAATTTTTTTAGTTTCCTATATTTACTTTTATAATAGCAATAATTATTATTTTTTAAATATTTTGTTTTTGATTGATTAGATATCATTCTAATACTAAAACATTATTGCCCGAAAAATAATGTTATTTAATTTCCGCTTCTTAGATTCAGATCATTTTAATCTCTGTTTACCTTGGGGGTCTATTATACGGAAAAATCGATTATCCGGACTTCGGAAAGTCCCGCCGATTCCGGATACGCGACTTTCCACTGTATATAGAAGTGTTGAGGATATGCGATTTCTCATACTTATCAATGAAGTTTAAAGCTTTTTGAGTTTTGAGGGACCAATTGTAAATTAAAAACAGAAAATAGTGTTTTTGAACACCCTATGCCAAAAAATGCAGCTATCTTTTCTTTTGCATGTTTTCTTTCCTTATACAATCATATTTTGATGTACAAACATTTGTTGCAAGGTATTATCCATTTTATGCAATTTTGTCATATGACACAAAATAATATTTGTAGAAAGCCCCTTATCATTATGAGTTCTATTAAAAAGTTCAAAAATTACAAAGAAAATTGCTTAAAACGTATTCAATTTTTAAGATATTCAAATTATGCTTATCTATTTAGTTGTTGAATAAAATTCACTATAAAACTAAGAAATTTTTAAAATTTTTTTTGGGCAAGCCCAGTTATATAACTACTTTAATTATACTTACAAAATAGCTTTTTTCAATGAAGTTTTTTCAAATTTTAAAGCAAAAAATTTATAATTAATTTTAAATTGCTCTAAATTACCTTTATTGAATATTAAGATGGGGGTGGTAAGTCTATTTTTAGACATAAATACATTCTAGTATGTTATGAAGGAGGGAAATTTATTACAGAAAAATAATCGTTTAAGCAAAATTGACTTATAATCTTTGTACATCTTATTATAAACAATATGGCCTTATTTTTAAAATCATAAAATAGAAAAAAGGTGCTTCGTGAAAGGAATGGGGTAATTCCTTCCTCTCATCAAGAATTCAAAAAATAAAATAAAATTAACGTTAGGGCCAAAGCTCCCAGTCCTAAAGCCAAGAATGCAAAATTAAAAGTAAAGTGAATTGTTCCCAACAGACAGCTAGAAGCATGGGAAGAGTTCCATGGTCGGTGATTTATAGAAAGATAAAATAGCCAAAAACAAAGCCAACCCTCCGCAATCAACATTAAAAAAATTCGGGTATCGCAAAAAGGATCACGATAATCACCAAAAAGGATCGTGAGAATTAGTAATTCTGTAACTGAAATATTTTATGAGAAATAAAGAGTTAAAAATAGATTTTGATGTTCTATTTTGCCGGGACTGTGAATTAAAGAGTTTTACATTTATATTGAAATAAAAAGTTAGCCATTACATTGATTGTTAAGAAAAGAATAAAATATTTATATTAGCTTTTTATAAAATGTAATAAAATTAAATAATTGGCTTAATTTAATTAAAATTCAATTAAGAATGATTAAAAAATAAATTTAAGGAGTTTTAAAAGCTAGGAAATTTGTAATGTCTATTATGGCATCACAAATAATTTCAAAGTTATAGCAAAAAAAATGTAAGATGAAAAAATAAGTTTTTTATAAACAGTCTATACCTCCATGAATATTTCAGCTGAGCTTACAAAATTCTGCGCAATTATAGCATATAATAAACAAAATAATTGCTACGAGTTACAAATTTATTGTTAAATTTTTCTTCATAGGCTGTTCAAAAACACTATTTTACATTTGCATTCATTGATTATAACTTCATTGATAAGTATGAGAAATTGCATGATTTTAACACTTCAGAAGTTATGAAAAAATTAAGTATTTCATGAGAAATATGTTAATATGTAACATAGAAGTGTTTCCATTATTTTGTTCTCCATCTGTATTTATCTGACAAACAAATAAAATTATAAATTAGCATACACATGTCAAACTGAAAACGTTAGGAATGTAATACTGTCACTATGAATAAATTTTTCTGTGAAAATAAAGTATATTTATTGGAACATATTGATGGAAGCCACCCCCTCTTGAAAAAATCTTACTGTAGCTTGTTTGGAAATCTCCTCATTTATGTTATCTTTAAAAAAATAACCTTCAAAGCTTCCTTTAAAATAATATTTAAGAACATTTATAGAGAGAAGAAAATATATGCATACAAACCTAAGTTTAAAGCAACCAATTTTTATTTAACCTTGTAGTTCACCAAAATCAAATGTTTCTAAGTATAATCAAGTAAATGTCTTACCGTTTTCTGGAAATTCCTTCACTTCAAAGTATTTGTCTAAATCCTCTATAAAATTACTGGTAAAAGAAAAAAGATCAATTTAATTTAAACATTTATTAACTTAAGTAAAAAAAAACTAAAAGTTTTGGAAAATAATTTCATAACTTACAACTATAAAAACATGTTCAGAAATATTTACTTACACATATCTTCCAGCACAACTGATATTAATAGATTGAGTAAACTCTTGATCTCCTTCATCAGTTATCTCCATTACTTCATCATTACTTAGATCTGGTTCTTCTATATCATTTGACTTTACTTGTTCCTCATCCCTTGGTTTGAATAATTTCTCACATTCCTTCATACGTTGATTTAATTTAAAATCTTTAACTTTGCTTTTATACCAACTCTTTATTAATTCTTCATCACTTTCATCTGTTTCTTCATCTCTTGGTTCTAATAATTTCTCACGTGTCTCAATAGGCTGAGTAAACTCTTCATCTCTTGGTTCTAATAATTTCTCATGTGTCTCAATAGGCTGAGTAAACTCTTCATCTCTTTCATCAGTTATCTCCATTACTTCATCACTTAGCTCCATTTCTCCCATATCATTCAGGTTTAATTCTTCATCCCTTGGTTCTAATAACTCCTCACATTCTTTCATCTGTTGAGTAAACTTTCCATCCCTTTCATCATTTCTCTTTTTCAATTCTTTTTCACTTGGTTCCATTTCTTTTATATCATTCAGGCTTAATTTTTCATAACTTGGTTCAAATTCCTCATGCTGAGTAAACTCTTCATTGCTTTCGTCACTTTTCTCTGTTACTTCATCATCACTCAGATCCACTACTTCTATATCACTTGATTCTACTTGTTCATCTCTTGGTTCTACTTGATCACATGGTTCAAAAAACTCCTCACTATCTTTCCTACGCTGAGTAAATCGTGTAGTTTCTCTTTCATCCCTTTTCTTTACGAATTCTTCATCGCTTAGTTCCCTTTTCTCAGATTTTTCAATCTGCTGAGTAAACTCTTCATTGCTTTCATCACTTCTCTTTGTTAGATCATCATCATTTAGCTCCATTTTTTCCATATCATTCAGGTTTAATTCTTCTTCCCTTGATTCTAATAGCTCCTCACATTCTTTCATAGGCTGAGTAAACTTTCCGACCCTTTCATCATTTCTCTTTATTATTTCTTTATCACTTGATTCGATTTCTTCTGTATCATTCAGGCCTAATTTTTCATAACTTGGTTCAAATTCCTCATGCTGAGTATACTTTTTATTGCTTTCTTCATTTCTTTTTTTTACTTCTTTTTCACTCAGATCCACTACTTCTATATCACTTGATTCTACTTGTTCATCTCTTGGTTCTACTTGATCCCATGGCTCAAAAAACTCCTTACTATCTCTCATACGCTGAGTTAATCTTGCAGTTTCTCTTTCATCCCATTTCTTTATGAATTCTTCATCATTTAGTTCCCTTTTCTCAGATTTTTCAATATGCCGAGTAAACTCTTCATTGCTTTCATTACTTCTCTTTGTTACTTCATCATCAATTAGCTCCATTTCTTCCATATCATTCAGGTTTAATTCTTCTTCTCTTGGTTCTACTTTTTTACTTGGTTCTAATAACTCCTCACATTGTTTCATAGGCACATCTTTTCCAACCCTTTCATCATTTCTCTTTATTATTTCTTTATCACTTGATTCCATTTCTTCTATATCAGTCAGGCTTAATTTTTCATCACTTGGTTCAAATTCCTCATGCTGAGTATACATTTTATTGCTTTCTTCATTTCTTTTTGTTACTTCTTTATCACTCATCTCGATTTTTTCCATATCATTCAGGTTTAATTCTTCATCACTTGGTTTCCATTTCGCAGAATTTTCAATATTCTGAGTAAACTCTTCATTGCTTCCGCCACTTCTCTCTGACACTTCATCATCACTCAGATCCACTACTTTTATATCATTTGACTTTACTTGTTCTCCATCTCTTGGTTCATATAACTCCTTACAATCTCTCCTATGCTGCTTTGCAATTTCTCTTTCAACCCATTGCTTTATGAATTCTCCATCTTCTCGATCTCTTTTCTCAAAATCTTTAATGTGCTGAGCAAGCTTTTTATTGCTTTTAGCACTTCTCTTTACTATTTCGTCATTACTCAGATCTATTACTCCTATGTCATTTGGCATCACTAATTCTTTATGCCTGGATTGTAATTGATAACTTGGCTCTAATAATTCTTTTTTATTCAGTATTGTCAACTTTTCATTTGCTTTAACTAAATTTGCATTTTGCTTGATTTGCTCATTTTCATTTAGCTCCATAATGTGTTCATTTGAATCTACTAAGTCATGAGCTAAAAATAAAAGTATTATATAATAAAATTTAATCCAAAGTTCAATATTTTTATGAGTTTTAAAACATACATTTTATACACTCATGTCCAAAAGTTAAATAACAAACACATTTTCACTGAAAACTTAAGAAATAACAAACCTAATCAATGAAATTTCTATATAAAAATGCAATGACATAAGGCAAAAACAATACCATAAAGGCAATAATACAGATTCAGGCTTATAAAGCAACAAAAATCACAGCAAAATAGTTCAAAATTTGTGTAGTAAAATGGTAATTACAGAAGGTTTCATATGTGACGTAACTCTTTTTGACGGCAATACAGGTCTCACAACAAGCATAGCTATTAAGTTTTGGAAAAATAAATCTTACTTTTCCCTTAAGGCTGTCCTTACCCCAGGAGGAATCTAAAACAGGGCTGATAGTTGTAATGGCTTTGGAAAGAGTATCCCAGACATGCTCTTTTGGGTTTAGGTCTGGAGATATGGCTGGCCACTTTATCCTCTAAACATCTTTAGATTCAAGGTATTCTAGATCAGCTCTGCATGAATATGCATTGTCAGCCATATAAATGACACACACAATATCTTTCCTTAAAATCTTCAAAGTCACAGCTTGATCTTTTTTAACCAAGGTAACAGAGTTAAATACTTTTCCAGTGAGTTTGGATTGAATCCAAGTACCACTGAATTAACTTCATCTGCTGCCACCTTATGTTTATTGTCTGCCAGAGCACTGAATACTTTACTTACCTCAATGGATCATAATCTTCCAAAAATTGAGGCAATAGAAAAAGGTCTGTCATATCTGTAAATTTTTTAGCATCAGATATTTTAAAGTGTTGTTCACCTGCTAACATGGGACACAATGAGATTGCTCATCGCAAAAAAAATCTCTACAGCATAGAGAGTAGCTCAATATCATGTAGCTCGTTGACTATCCCTACGCTTTGTTCATGTGTTAATGCCCCTCGACTTTTGTCGATCATATTAAAGCTTGCTTAATAAACATATTTGTCCATAATCCAGCCTACAGTCTATTTTGCCTACAAATGGTGAAATGACTAGCACTCAACAAGCTATAAATGTCTTCATCTTTTTTCAGTTCTCTCATTAGTTGTAGTTAAATCCCTGTACAATTTGCATAGTTATTGTGTCTTTCAGTTAAAAAGAAGGGCATAAAAGATATTCAAAATTTCCTATTTTTCAGATCAAATAAATAACTTAGCAATGCCAACCATATCCAAATACATTATCCACAGTTTTGCTGTCCTACTTTGTACCTTTAAGGAATCATTTTTCCTTTGAGTCTCAAAAGACAACTATAGCAGATCAGCAGAAGAATTTATTTCAGAAACTGTAATCTTCCCATCATAAAGTTCTATGAGATTGTAAATTTGGGAAACTTAGCTATATTTCATCTGTATACATATTGGTACCATTTAAACATATTTGAGAGTTATGCAGGCGATTTTCAAGCATGAAATGCCAAGTAATTTGATACAGCACATTATATTTTTTAAAAAATTCCATATGACAGTAAAAAAAAACTTGTTTTGCACAATCAGATTTTTCTAGCATGTCAAAAATATTTCCATCCACTTTATCTTTGTCAGTATTTTACTTTTAAAATTTATTGCTATTTTCCTGCACAAAATTTGATATCCCACACATTAAAAAAAAAAACGTCCAAATAGATGAGTTTTTTCATGTTCACACTTTAGTGTGCCGAAAGTTACCACTCATAATTTTTATTTAACAATTTACTTTAAAACACCATTATACTTTTATTTTTTACCTTGAAATACCTTAAATCTTGACACCACACACTGTTTTTTTAAATAATTCAACATGAAGATCAATAAACAAGTTTTTTTCCAACTTGAAATTTTCTGGTTCAAAAGTTACCATCAATTCAAAGAATTAAACATTTTACTTCAAAAAGCCAATGAAAGTTTTTTTCTCAAGCATAACATACCCTTTTTTGCTAATGCACATGACTTTTTTAAAATTTTAATGTTTTTCAAAGATGGTGACCTCAAAACGTATTTTGTATGCTCACATTTTTTAAACTTTCAGTATGTCAAAAAGATAATAATGAGCAAAAAAATGCAATCCCTTTCATGGTGGGAATTAGTTCGACCAATCATCGATTTTCCCCTATTTCTCCTATAGTACAGAGCATGTCTAGAATGCTTTTGGTAGAAAACATGCATTTTTAAAGCTGAGAATTGCCTTTAGAAAAGAATAGTATTTATTGTTCAAAAGATATTAAATTCATTGGCTTAAAACATTTGTCAATCACATTAAGAGCAGAAAAATTTATTGAGTTTTTCCTTGCTGCCTAACAGGGTTATGTTTACACTAGACCTTCCAAAAGTGTCATGTATTTGTGCTATCAGCTTTCTGTCAGCCTAATTTTTATTATACTTCGATTTATTTCCACATAAAATTCACGAGAATTTATTAACCTTTTCTTGAGTTGCTGGACAAAAATGTGTTTATTTCTAAACTTTTGGACATGAATGCATAATTATTAGCTGAATAGCTTATAACAGATATAAGCTTTATAGATCAAGTAAGTAAGTATAAATAGAGTATATGATACTAGGATACTGGAGCTAGGAATAAAATATTATCTATTGAAAGGAGTAAACAAACCTTCTAGATCATCAAGCCAGGTCATAAATTTTTTAAGTTCTTCTGCTGTATTAGGAAAAGAGACATCCTCGAAATAGTCATAAATATTTAAAGATTCTTTTAGCAGGTCTTGACTCTCCTGTAAAGAGCATTTGTGAAAAATTAAAATAAAGTAACCAACAGGAAATATGAACAAAAAGAGAAATGAAAAAAAAAAGAAGAAATGACTTATCTGAAATTGATTCCAGAAAGATATAACAGTATTTTAAGCCATTATATGCGGACATAATAAATTTTTTCAAATCATAAAAAATATTGACATTTATTTATTCATTCAGAGGGCTAGACTCATTTATACAATATAAATGATGAGTAACTTCTGTTTTTGATATTTACTTATCTTTTTTTATGTTCCTTTCTTGTAATTCATGCTATTTAGATGTTTTTAATTAATTATATATTTGGAAGATGTGTACAGTTTTTTGCTAAATACCAACTTTATATAGATTACAATTTTTTTCTTTCAGAAAGGAGAATAATGCTGTGAAACTCAATTTAAATTGCTTACTTTTAAAGTTAACATAAGCATAAAACGCAGAAGTAAATTTCACTGGCAACTATTGATGTACAATAATATAATTTGAAGTCTCAGTTTTTAATGTCTGTGTTCTCTAAAATATCATATTACTACTATTTTATATATAAAACATACATAATTGTCATTTATTTAATTGTCACAACACTTAGCCAGTCCGACATGCATGTTTTGTTTGAAACTACTTAGCTTAGCTTCACACTGAATGCTTCTGAGAGTTAAAGATGCGTATCCCTTTTTTTCAGTTTTCTAAAATAATTACTTAGTTTTGATCAGGCATTTTCTAGAATAACTGTTTTTTCCCTAGAATTAATATTTTTTTTAATAGTAAAATGAAATGAACTGGTAGGCACATTTAAGAAATTAAAATTTTCTCACCTATTTTAAATAGCTACTTAGCTACAATTAAGTCTTTTTTTAGATATGCATTTTTTAGTTTGAATAACTAAAAAAAATAAAAAGGAAACTCTTTTTATAAAGCTACACACTTAAGACATGGTTGGGAATACAGTTCAAAAGTTTAATAAAATCTATACAAATTCAAGAACTTTATTAATTTTAATATTGATTGTTTGCAGGGCCTTCGTAACAAGAATTGAGACCCTAGGACAGCTACAAATTTGCGGCTACTTGAATTCTGATAAAAATTTTATTTTTTGGGCTCATTTGAAATTTATTTAAAGAAATTTAATTGACTTATATTTGCTTAGTCTTTATTTTAAAATTATAACTACATATTTATACTTTCAGCTAAAAATATTTCATTTGATCCAAAGAAATTATTTAAAAGGAAACAGACATTAATAAAAAGTCATAATGCAATACTTCATGAGAGACAATGATTTATTGTTTTAAAACTATCGTGTTTAGGAACTGATTGTCGTCCCCTTTTTTGTAGTTTTTTTTTAATAATATATTTTCAGAAACTCAAAATTAAGTTAGTTACCAAACTTTCATAAAAGTTTGGTTTCTTGGTTAATGAAAATTGGTTTATTATTTTGACAATGTGAACGCATTCGAGACAGACACGCTCACCTTAAAACGTATCATTTAGGTCAAAAAGCATATTTATATACACCAACATCAAATCAATTGACAGGTAGAGCATTTGCTAAAAAATTTTCAGGACCTTACAGAATTATTGAAAAACATTCTGATCTAAATTATACAATTCAAGATGTAAACAAACCATATAAGAAACCAACTAAGGTACACATTGATAGAATTTTTTCATATACACAACGCAGACCAGATTTAGAAATTCCTCAAATAACCACTACGAATGTACCGAACGCCACTATTTCTTCTCAGACACATGTATTAAAAATAAATGACGAAAAGTGTAAGGATGCTTCATTTCCTTATGATATTGAAGATGATGGGGATGACTATATTCCATATACAACATACCGTCCAAAAAAGTCATTATCACACAAGCGTATTGATACAACGGAATCACTATCGCAACAACAATCTACTCAAAATTCTCAATCATCTTTAGTAAAAAGTCATACACGGCAAGTTGAGGGAACTAATGATTCTCCGATATCATTGGTAGATTCACCAGCACCTTCGGCGTAGACCTGAGAAAAATGCAGCATCAATTCAGGTAAATAAGTCAGAAATTCGAACATCTCAAAAACAATCCTCCGATAATAATTCGCTTTCAAGTAAAATTCTTGGTTGGGCAATGAACTCTGATAACTCAAACCCAGATAAGGGAATTTTAGAGAAAGTAGCCGATGCCTTATCTGCCAAGCTTTCGAATGATTTGCAAACTGAAGGGGACCCAAGTATCAATAATATAACGCTTTATCCTCAACAAACGCGTATATTTTATAATCAATCTTATACAAATTATTAGCAATAAAAAAAAAAAATTTTTTTTTTCCTCCTCTCTTTATTCTTTTTTTTTTTTTAGTCAATGTTCATATAGATATTTCGGATCATTTCTTGAATGGGAATCCGCGGCTCCTTTTGAGGAATTGATCTAGTCACTTATTGTTTCGTCGCGTCAATACAATGTTTTGCGCAGGCGCTATAAAACTTTGTTACGTTGACTAAACAATTGGAGACGAATATGTGTCAACTAAATAAGTAGGGAATAAAGAGAACAAACAAACAAAAAAAAAACACTTTGGATATAATAATACTAATAAATAATTATACTAAATAAGTAAAAGAAAAAAAAATCTTTTTTGTCTCTCAATTATATAATATTTGTAAATTTTACTTCTAAAATATGTATAGAAATAATTTATATTTATATACAATATGTATGAATAAAGCAAGTATACTGTACTATACCATTCTTGATGGTACGTAATTAATTAAAATGGGCAGAAAAACTGAAATCAACTGGATCAAATGATAATGAGTATCTATACTAAATCGTGTATACTAAGAATAATCGAAATGAAATATTTATATTTAGAGCAAATAAGGAATAGTTAATGTGTAAAATTAAATGAGTTCATTCATACTCAAATAAGTTTAATGATCTTTTGTCATTTCTTGAAACAAAATTTTTAAATACTTGATTAGTTTTGAATGAGTGGAAGAGAAAAAAAAACTCTTAAGTACTAGAACTTTATAATAGTTTATTGAGTAGATGGAGAGAACTTTCCTTGTTTATT